ATCTGCCGCCGCCTGTGGGCGGATTATTTAGTTTAGATTCTATAGGTAAAATAAAATGTGGGGTCTTATGTACCCCATACCGCACTGAAAAAGGGCAGTTTTTCATATTGTTTAGTGATGGGAAAAAAATATCGATTTTATTTAATTGTACTTATGGATCCTTTTTATTAAAATAGGGCAAACAATAATATTTTTGCAACCGATACATTCTGAGGTGGTAGCTCGATGAGCCCCGGGGTTTGCATTTTGGGTGAAGGAAAATGGGCTGCATGTCTGAGGAATAAGAAAAATATTGAGAATGTGAAGTTCGCCAACGTTGGGGGGCGCTTCTTGGGGGGGGGTGCCCAGGTGGGGTAGTGTTTCTTACTTTTTTATACATTCTGTGAGAATATTCTTTGCTATTTTGTCAGCCTCACGACGCTGATAAGAAGGTGCGAAGTTTTTCGTAGCATCCTACACATCTCATTTTCTTTGATCCTTTTTCGAGATGATGTGGATTGTTTGGAGCGGGTTCTGAAAAAAAAAACTGATAGTGTATTTATGAAGCGGGTTGATTAGGTGTAGCGATTTATTGGAGCATTTCTATACATAAGTATGGGATCGTTACGGCCTGTGTGTGTGTTTTGCTTTTGTCAGTTGAATTTATTTGTTATATTCCTACATAATTATTTCACTTAGACGGAGTATAATTTGTAAATATTGATTGGAAACTTAGCTGTTTTTCAAATAACTTTAATTTAGAATTAGATTTACCACCCAATTCCTCTTCATCATCAATAATATTATTAATTAACTTTCTTCAGCAACGTTTCGACATCTTATTATATCGTCGCGGGTGCAGCGTTCGTTTTGCACAACAGTAACCGCGTAAAGCTAGCGTGGGGTGCGGTACGAGCGGTGTGCGGGGTACGAGGTGTTCGCAACCTCGTAACGCACTGTTTTAAACTTTAATTTATTCAGTGCGCTACGAGGCTTAAAAATCCGGTATTAAGGTAGATATACCAAAAACTTGACATCAATAGCACATCTCAGATATATAGTTATTTCTTTCCTAGACTGAAGCAAACGGAAGTTACGCCTCTCGCACGGCAGAGAAGTTTAAGTTTTTCCTTACCGCTATAACGACGAAACACGGACGAGGTGTTTCAAGCCTCGTTTCGCAATCAACGTGTTAAAAGAGACGTTTGGATTTGTATTTGTATTTGTAGTAGTGAGTGTATTTCAGCTTTGCTGTAGAAAATAATTAAGGGAGGGGAAGTATGATAGTATAATAATGTCCTCGAGACCGAATTACGGTCACGGCGGCCAGCCTCAACGGAGACTAGCCATCGGCGCAGGACAGAATTATAGTGACCAAGTGTATGCGCAATCACAGATGCACTCTCTATTCCTTCACTCTCGTAATCCGAAGGAACGATAAACCGACACGACTGGAGAGATATCAAGTGCAGGACCAACGGCTTTACGTGCTTTCCGAGGAACGGGAGTAAGACACCGGCAACTTCCTGACTTCGGGTAGCTACTGAGAATTCCTTCACGGGAAAACTATATAATATAATTGATTTTTTTGGCCCGACCTGGGATTCGAACCCATAATCTCATGATTAGCAGCGCACTAATACTGGTTGTATTACTAGACCAACGAGACAGTCAGTGATAATATTATTTAGGACTATGTATAGTAATTACACAATTTAATTCCTCCCTCCCCTTTCTACCATTCTACCCTTTGTTCTCAACGTTCCTCGCATTCTAATTAAACGGTTTGCTTCGTCTCTATTAATTCGTACAGCAAAAGAGAGGGAAAGTTTGCCATCGATTGTTTTGTGTTACTGCTAGGTACATGTAATAAGTCCAAAATCTCCAAGGTGAATCTTCAGTTCTATTACATAAATTAATGATTTTCAAATTCCACGTTTGTTGATATTTTCCATTAAACTATTATATTCCTTTACACGTAGAACTAAGTTTGTATTTTTTAACACTTATAAGCAAAAAAGGTTCGTGGCGTGGCTTCGATACAAATAACCAAACTTAACATGTCTTGGGGCGAGCTTGAACTTTTTTAAATTTCAGTCAATGCAGGCTTCCTATTGAATTTTTTCTGTTATTTTTTATGTAAATAACGTCACGGTGAAAAATGAGTACACAGTCGATCTGTTTTGAACATATGCGTTATATCTGAGTGTCTCACAGGTAAGGTTACCTACTACGTATCGGTCCTAGGTTCTAAACCGTATTGTGGTAGGAATACTTTTCAGCCCAGAAGTTCGTCTATGTTGGTACCACACTCTTACATATTACTGCTACAACGTAGCTCCCTTTGCTTTGATCCCGTCTGGAAAGGGTAAGGAGTCAGTAAAAATACAGAATCTGTGGCATTCTATCTAATGGTCGCCACACACGGTCAGTTCATCTGATCATATCGAAATTCCACTATTTAAAAAAATATCAACAGTTTTAGTTTGAACTGATCAGTTTGAATATTCAGTTGAACTGACCATGTATGGCGACGATAAGCCCGATCCGTCCATCTTAAATACGTATCTGTGGTCTTCTTTCTTCAACCGGTATCGGGTCAGAAATAATTAGTGTTTGAGACTGAGACAAAATCGGCGAGAACGAGGATGTGAAATACTTAGTCTAAAAGCCATGCATCGTTACTGTTCTCTAGCCGATTTAGTGTTTTGATCTACCACATGAAGTATCACATCAAATGAGGAAAACGAATTTAAAACCATGATTGCTTGTTTATTATTATTGATCTGGGAAAACTACTACTAACTACAAGGATTCGACTAAAACGTTAAATTGACAAAAGCATTATAAATCAGTTAGTAACCTTAAAAGTTTTCCTTGACCTACTAAACAAGGAAACTGCGGAAAAATACGACGCCATTTCCGAAAATCGGAAGCGACGGCTTATTGAAAACTGATCACGTTTTTAGGGATATTTTTTATTGTACTGGTAGGAATACTTTTAAAGTATTTTGTCTTATTTGTCTTTGATTTTATTTTGAAATTCAAAAACTAATACGGAAAATGGTGTTTTTGTTAAAAATGTTAGAAGATGGCAAATCTCACATCTTCTTTTTTCAACAGTCCGTAAGAATCCACGGCCTTTTCCACTGATCGCCACGCTTACTGGTCGAATTGGCAATCGTAGTACCAGAAGTCTCGCACTTTTGACGACGTTTCCGCTTTCGATGTTCATACGAGTAATTGTGGTAAAAGATATTTAATAATCTTAAATATCTTCTCTAAAAATCTTATATATCTTCTATTTAATAATCTCAAATATACCCTCTTTAGTAAAACTTTTCTGAACGTTTATCATTATGGTAATAGTGGGGGCAGGATTTTAAGCGTTTTTTTTTTTGGGAAATACAAAAGGCCATCAAATATGAATATTATTATTTTAAGCTTTTATTGACAGCCTAAAAGGTTTTTGTAATTATTTATTTTGACGTTCCAATTTAACTTTCAAAAGTAACAAGACGAAAACTGAAATAATTTTGTCTGTTTTTAGACAAAATAAGAAAATTTTTAATCATCTACGTGAAAAAAATTAATCATCATCACCAAGATTAACTAACATCAGTGACATACAGACGGACTCAGAGCTGAATCCCAAATTCTTTTTTTTTTTGAGTGAGAAAGATCAATAATAATTTTTCAATCTTTGAACTGAGTGAATAACGATAAATAATTTGTATTTCAAATATTTGAACAAATAGTTACGTAACATTATGCTGGCTTAGACGGCTGAATAAACTCTACTGGCTACATTCTGCTTGCTTAACGAATAATTGTATTCTAGTAAGCTGACTGGAAAGAATTCACTTCTAAAAGCGATAAATATTTTGGTTTCACTCGAAATCTGCTTATACAGAGAATATTTTATTTTTCTTTAATATTAATTACGTATTAAAATAATGTATCTTAGCAAAGAAAATGCTGAATTTAAAATACTTGTGTCATTTATCTACTTAGAATCAAAATTAAAACAAAATTATAATCTTAATCATTTCTGATTTTCAAAGAAGTATAACAATATAATGTAATAGTAACGATTTAAATTATTATTATCAGTCCATTGCTGCATACCTTAGTAGTAATCAAAGGTTGTAAATGCAAAAAGCAAGTGATTTACGTTAAACAAAACAAGTTTATCGCATCGGTGAAGGATTTCTTGACCGCGACAAAGAAAAGGAGTAAAGGTAGGTACACACGCATTGCCCCATTTTGATAAAGCCCTGCATAGATTACGCGGCGGCCACTCGGGCACTCAGGTGCATGCAATGCAGTGGACGATGCTATTTGTAAACCATATTTAACATAAATATTTTTCGAAACTACATCGTTAATTACTATCAAAAATATGATACCTATATTCTAAACGAGAGAAAACTTTGTGAGGTCACAGACAAAAGTCTCGCATCCACACATCATCTCACACGCACGCACACGAACAAAAAAGTTTAGCTCATAAGTTTATAATCAAGCAAGGTTTTTATCTCGTAGTCGTACGCAGCCCGCCGCGCAGCGCGCATGTGCCCGCCAACGCTGAAGCCTTATAAATACGCGCGTGAAAATTCATCCAACATATGAAAATTAAAAAGAAAAATATTTCAGCCGGAACATTCAAAGAAGCCCCGCGCGACAAAGGCGCCTAACAGGCGAAAAGTGGAGCGTTTTTAAGCCGCGCGGGCTTATTCGGAAAAATTATGAAAGTGGTGTGAAACAGTAGAGGTGTTTCTAAACGGAATACTACCGTTTTTCATGTTTTTTTTTCATGTGACTACAAAAGCTATTGTTCGCGGCCAAGTTTCATAAAGGCATATTAGTATGGTATTTTTAGTGTTGTTTTTTTTGCCTTTGAATGAGGCCAGTGTTGAAAAAATATTACATAAAAGTGAACAGTATAGTTTAACTAAAGGAACAGTGGCAGAGTAATTCAGTTAGATGTATGTTCAACATAATATACAACGGGTCACAACATGACGGCAAAGTTCGGCTATGTAAGTTGTAGTTAAATTTTATTTTTATAAATCTTGTGTTTCCCAGCGGACGATTTTTATTTCCGTTCCTCGTTATCGGTTGTGTAGATCCGTAGTAATTTTATTGTGTCTGGAAATGATTGAAGACTGATTTGTTTTCGTATTTCTTATGTAGGTTTCTCCGCTGTTCCGATAATATTGTTTTCAAGGCAATTGCCTGTAATCAGGAGATTGTGACTGATAAACGATTCAAATTAGATATTTTAATCATATTTTCATATCCAAGTACTTACCGGGGTTATGTGATACCTATTTTTTATAACTTATTTATTTTTTAAAACTTTTACTATTTTTTATAACTTTTACTTTTTCTGTGCACATTTCGTTTATAGATTTTTTCAGCAAAAGCAAAATAAATATTATTGAGATAATTTTAACAGAATCTCTACGGCCAATTTACCCATTTTTATGTTAAAATATAAAACATTGAATTATAAAACATTTCTTAGATTTTAGTATGTACCTATAAAATATATAGTTTAATACCAATAGTACAGACCTACATACGTAGAAAGATACGTTGACGGAAGGCGTAATTTTGCGAGCACATAATTTATTATATGCGACACCTGAGTTTCACTAGTCTATTATTTCTTTGCAAAATGAAAATTATGAAATTTATGAAAGGAGATAAACTTGATTCCATACAAGCTCGGGCCCGGAGTGAACAAAGTACAAATATGTCTTATTTTGAAGATTTAGACATTTTCTACTTATGTATATAAACCATATTTTTGCAGAACCTGGGGTTTTGTTTTTACGTTATGTTTTATGATTTGTAGTTTATGTAGTAAAAATCGTTCTTGTGATAAGTGATTTGAATAAATTGAAAAGGACACAAAAGAATACAGTTCTGTTGTTATTAATAAATATAGTAAAATTAAACTCAACCTATTTAAATTGTTTAATTATTTTCTGAATCAATCATAAAATCTCATCTTGAAAAGCAGCCGGAGACTACATTGTTTGTTCTATTCCTCTCATAATCCAAGTAACACAATATTGTTCCTATGGGGTCGCAACAACCTACCGTACTGTAATCCTAGAGAATAGCCAAGGGTCAACTTAAATAAATCCACGAAAATAAAAACACGAAATTCATCCACAAACACAGCCACAACACCAAATGCGCATGACAAGTTGAAACTCGAAGCTACCAAGTTAAATCTCCTTCGGAACAGGCAATGATCAAAGAACATACAGCCTATTCAGTCGTGACAGATAATATTTAAATGTTTTTTTAGGTTTAATATTGCTTATTTAACCGTTTTGTAAATATTTTTCTTTTATTCAATTTAAACCTTTACAGATTCGCCTCAATGTTTTAATATTTTATTATAACAATAGCCTTCATTATCTATTGTCATAGACAAAATACAGAAAAATATTTAATGACGTGTTGGTTTTGGCGGGAATTTGCTCCTGTTTTATCGTTTAAATAATGGTTAATCTTAATTAAAATTGCCGCCATTATCTATTGCCTTAGATAAAATACAGAACATATTTAATAACGTTTTGTTTCTGCTATAGTAAGAGTATTCGCTTTCGTTTTTCAGTTTAAAAATGTTTTATGATTGTCCCAAGCACTACATAAATACCATCAACTACCACCAGAGATTTTTCCGGACCGATACGACTTAGGGACCTTCAAGACCCTATTCCTTTAAAAGAGCCTATTCCTTTTTAAAGGGCCGGCAATGCATCTGCAATCCCCCTGGTGTTGCAGTTGTTCACGGGCGGCGGTAACCACTTACCATCAGGTGAGCCGTATGCTCGTTTGCCCCTTCTTATATAAAAATACCATTTAATTATGCTTACAATTTATCGTTTTATCACCTACATGTTTTTGTATAACTGTTCCGAACGATGTCAAGCACCCAATTTCATACATCTCCTTTACGGAAATAATTTTGAGTATTGTTTCAAGAGCCTATACTTAAACAAAAAAGAAATAAAAATGTGCTAGATATGAAACATAATAAAAGTAATTTAACCATAAAGTATAGTGTAATGTAATTGGCATTTAACAAATACTATTTAAAAATATAAATTGAATAAAAAAAATATTAAGCCGTGGTACCGCGAACCGAGTTGAAACCCCGCCAGCACCATTGAATTTCTTGTGCTGATTTTCTAAATTTTATTTTAATACGTGTGGTGAAACAAAACATCGTGAGTAAAGCTGCATGTTAAAAAATATCACTTAGACATATAGCACGAAGGGCTCTTTCCTACCCAAGAACCTTCTCAGAACCCTCTGAGTGGGACAATTGTACTTTTTTTTACAAAAGTATTGCCAAAAAACAATTTGGTTATAAAATTATATAAGTAACGAAAGCTTTACGTTGGTTACGAACATCATCTATACACATGCTCAGATTTATACAAACACCCTTGAATATTATACTTAAATAAAATGACGCGTTGTACTTTTACTGAGAATGTCGATAACAAATAAAGTAAATGCAAGTTGTACAATTTATTTAAATTTATTATTCTACGTAAAAATGGTTGAAGCCGTAAAACCAGAAAGGATAGTCCGTCTATCTTTTCTTCGTAAAGTGCCACCAAAACTAAGGCAAACTCATGCTGAACTCATTGTAACAAACTCACGCACATTTATTATGGTTGTAATTTATTAGAAACCAACAACATAGCTTAAGATGCTTACGTGTGTGTGTTCAGCAGCAAACATTTACGAAATGTTAAAGAAGTAAAGAAGAAAGATGTGTGCGTGAGTGTGTATGAAAGAGTTGAGCATGGTTTCGGCGTCAACTAAATTTAGGCAGCGCTCCGTCTATTTCTTTGTTGGTCCAAGGTAATATATATAAAACAATAATATACATTATTCAAATTTTAATGTTTGGTAATAGTCGATGAAGAGCCGTGGTAGCTCAGATGGTTAACGCTCGCTGTAAATATAACAGAACGCGAGTAACCCGGGTTCAATCCCCGCCGGCACCAATGAAATTGTTAATTGCAATTTTAAGTGCTGATTTACCATGCGCTCGGCGGTGAAGGAAAACATCGCGAGGAAACCTGCATGTCTGAGGAATAAGAGAAAAAAATATATTTCGAAGACATGTGAAGTTCGACAACACGCATTGGGGCAGCGGCGGATACTTCCTTGCCCTAAAACCCCCCCCCAGAAATGAGAGGAGACCTGTGCCCAGCAGTGGGACGTATATAGGCTGTAATTTTACTTTACTTTACTAATAGTCATGAATTCTACACTTGGGCGCAAAACATGTCGCTTGATATGCGTATATGAAATAAAATAAGTTTAAAAATCTTCAACATAAAATGAAATAAAAACAAAAATCACAGAACAGCAGAATAATCAGGGAAAGTATTGTTTGGTGGCATCGTAAAAAACTTATGGTGGAGATGGAAAAGCAATAACACTATGGAAACAGAATGGTTTTTTTACTCTGTCCGTGTCCACAGCTGTACATAGATATTGCCAAAAATGCACCAATTTGATTGCTTGTCGCGAATCAGTTGTTCGTACTTGTAAGCAGACTAGTTTTTCAGTACAATCGCACTGATAATGCTGCTTACATTCACGAGGAACGAATACGTATTGAAGTATGTATGTATGTTTAAAAGATAAAATAGTTATTTTTTCTTTTTTTATGTCGTTTTGGTTTTGTTTTCGTTGAAAGAATTTAAATTCAGTTACATTTGCATACTCAAATGATATCTATCTTAACATGTTTCAGAATATTAACCTAATAATCATAATATGTCTCTATAGTAACGTTTAATTTGATACAATTATATCGTACAGGTAGTTATGGGTCATATCAGTTTCATTATCAAATCGTATGTAACTCTTCAACTATGTAACGACCGTGAATTTTGACGATTAGTTTTTCAAAAAAAATTTGTTAAACAAGTTATTTCAGTCTATAATAATAGGTTTTATATTTGCAGACAGAAATAAATACTTACTTATTATGAAAGCCCAATGATTAAAACAGCAATTCTAAAAACTTGGCTGGTTAAAAAGTTAACTGAGAAGAAAAAAATATCCTTTGTAACTTCTACAGCCATAATGAATCCATGTTTAAATTTATCAAACCGATTAAACTACAGAGCGTGCAAAATAAATAGAAACACATACATATGCTGTACCTACGTAACTCGAAAAACATTACCCTTTTTCGTGGACAGTCGGATAAAACAACAAGATAATATAAAATAGTTTTCATAAAAAAAAACTATGTATGTTTTTATTAAAATTGTCCATTAAACTTCACAAAAAATAAATTTGGATCCATCCCAAATTTATTTTATATATACAATGAAAATGAATAAACAACCCGACACCATATTATGAATATGAACATCCATATCACACACGGAATTATACAGATAAATTTATTGAAAGTTTCCAACAAGCTCTGCATCTATTAAAACTAGAAATCCTAGAAATATCAAATAATTTATGTAATGGGTGTGCCATTTAAATAATTTGATTTTTATAAATAAGAATATTTGTTGTCATTCATTATTAAGTCTAGGGTGCTAGCCTGCCTTGGGTATTCTATATGTCGTTGCCGTGTGTAGTATTTAAGTATTTAAGTATAGTATAAGTATAGTATTTAAGTAAGTAAACTTTGGTCAATGTAAAAATTCTTACCGACATGCATTTTTTCACTGCCTACCATTATTAACTGTATTTCGGCAAGTTTGTTAAAAAGTACATTATATTTTTTATAGCAAAAATAAAGGATGTGCTGATAACAATGATAGTGTTCGCCATTGACTTATATATTACTAGCGTAGTACGTCAAGTAAAGAACCGCAGCAAGATTTAAGTTAATTAAGTCAATAAAAACGAAATTCTAAAACTGCTGCAATTATTTGCATACATGATGTGATATCTTACTGATAACGTTACTAAATGATTTCTTAAATTTACGCGAACACTACATTACATTTATTATTATTTACAT